AAGAAAAACTTCATTGAATAACCAAATGCGTGAACACATTATGAAAAATATTTTATTATCTGATAGTAATGCATGAATTGATTTTCGATAATACTTTGTAGAAAAGATTTTTCATACAAAACACACTCAATTTGGTGATAAGTTTTTGAAAAACGTCTCAAACAATTAGATTCCCTGTCTTTCAGACAAACAAATGAATTGTTTTTAGTTTTTACAAAAATCAAGTGAACAGCCCTTCCCTTCCAATGCATGTCTAATGCAAATAATTTTAAGCTTTGTTTTAGACATCAATTGTTTAGAAAATTAATGATAATTCATAAGAAAGAAGAAGATTTGGGTTTTCTTGACTTTTTTAAATACTTTTTAAGTAAAAGTATTTTTTGCCTATTTTTTAGATAGACTGTTGCAATGAAAATTGTAATTTATATGGAAATTATACAGAAAGTACTGATTTTATGAAAACTAAAAGTACTGTCAAAGTCATTGAATTGTGTAGTCATATGCACTTTAATTATAACTTTCGTATATTTTACACAAAGTTTGGATATTTTATAAAAAAATATTAACTTATAAATTACCATAACTGTCCCCTATTTTGCATAAACCAATGCTTACCATTATATAAAAGGGTCAAAATGATGTCAATAGCACCGGTTGTTTGTCACCTAACCTTGTGGTCAGTGGTCTGAAACTTGATTATATAGAGGGTTTGCAACTACCAATGCCCACAACAACAGTATCTCAAGTTCACTAAAGTCTCACAAGTTATGCAATACGTTACATAACTTTGCAATATATTAATTAATTAAAATAATAATTAACAAAATGAAAGCACTCAATGAAAAGTGTGAAAAACATTTTTAAACAAAACTTTTTGAACAAAACTGTTTGAAAAAAGTTTGTTCACTAATGACTGCAACGAGTCATACGAGATGTCGTCAGCGATCGATGCCATGGATTGTCAACAAAATCACGTGTCGTTTGCCGTAATGTTTGGCTATTTGAGCGAAAAATGCATTTAATTTGCGAAACAATTAACGCATAAAATGTTACATCAGTTGAGAAAAAGTGTTTCAAACGGACAGTCATTTCGTTCATTACTATCACAATATCTGTCGCAACGGTTTCGACACAACAGGTCCGATGTCTTGAGGTCCAGACACCGACACAGGACGTCAGCGACGAGTGGTTCGCCAGAAGATAGTCTAGCGAAGACCCAGAGGAATGAAAACGTGGATTATTTGGGTATATCTGCGGCCAATCACCGGGAGGTGAGCGGTCTGTACGACAGCGATGGCACCGGCGATGACGTGATCCACGAGTACTCGGATCTCTTGCTCAAGAAGTCGGCGAAGATGAGCGATGAGAACCTATTGGTGACCACTTTTGGTAGAGTGAGACTCGACTCACTCAACGAGCCATCAATTCATGGCCAATACGATGAAGACAATGAACGGCCGAAGTTTGATATCAAAGAGTTTGAGTCCAAACTCAGTGATCGTCGGGTGAACACTAGTGGCCAACAAAATCAATGTATGCATCAATTGAATGGATTTTTATTCGGTTTGAGTTGTAATTGACTTCTTGTGTCCACTTCTTAGCCGACTGTACCTCTGAAGACAATAACTTTATTGACGGCCAATATTTTGGTGGCGTTTCTACCGGTGATCGTAAGAAAGTCGATGACAACAGTTCCGCAGACAGTCACACGAGTGGATCTGACTTTGGATTCATTGACAAACAGTTTTTCGCGAAGAACACCGACATTAAGCCATTAATTAAGAGTAAAATTGATTTCAAATTCAGTTCACAATTCAATGAGTTCTTAGAGCAGAAGGCGGTCGACGAGCAGAATATGTTCCAGAATTTCAGAAGTTTTGAAAATAAGAATCTGAAAGCTATTCCTCGTGAGACGGATGGCTATGAGTCTGGTTTTGAGGATAATTTAGAAATAAAGTGTCACTTAATAACTGATTCTCCGCTAAAACCGGAATTATTTTCGTCTAAATTTGAGTCAAATATTGATTTAAATCCGAAAGCGACGGATGAAGTGTTGGACGAGAATAACGAGATTAAAGAGAAAATCGCTGAACAAAGAGAGATAAAACTGGAGGAGTATATCACAAAACCTGCAGATTATTCGTCCAAAACGAGAACCGGTGCTCAGTATCTGAATGATGTGCAGTCGGGCGCCGTATCGCCACAATATCCCCATAAGTTTACCGATGAGGTCAAGAATTATCGCTCACAACTTGGTTTAGGCAAAGAGAAACTCGACTC